TTAAATAAAGGAAGAGGTGTCAGGCACAGCACTAGGACTAACTGGAGAAAGTACATCTGGGAGAACTGGTGAATTGTAATTGCATAGGGGAAAGACTAAGAGAAAACCCACAGGAGACTTTGCTTGTATAAAGCCATCGTTTCTTGTACACCTAAAAAAAAATAACACATTTCCATCACTGTGCACAGTCAAACATTGGCATGATTTTATGGGATTGGCATAAATGCAAAGGGAACCAGAATATTTACCACAGCCCAGCTCCAGTACCTCTGGAAGCACCCCAACTGGGGACAGCAGGACTGTCTTCCACAGCTTGACAGCCCTTTGGGGGAAGAAATTTTTCCTAAAATCCAATGTAAATCTCCTCTGGCACAACTTGAGGGAATTTTCTGTCATCCTGCTGCTTGTTACCTGGGAGAAAAGACCAGCCTTCACCTGACTACCATATCTTCTCTAATGGACAGTACCAAAAGCTTCTTAAAAGACATCATCAGTTTTATTCTGTGCTTTCCTCATATACACACATTGCTGGCATCTTAAGAATATAAAATTCCATGCTTCATTTCTTGCACAAATAGAAAAATAACATTCTGGATTTACAATGGACTTCTGTGCTCAAGAGAGCAGGTAAAACTGATAATTGCCTTATTTCTGCTTCTGGCTTGGAACCCTAACACTAACCTTTACTTGTTAGTTAACATTAAATTTAGCTTTTCCATACTAGATGATGAAATGAGGACAAAAGGGGCAAGATCTAGATTCTTCACTGGACCAAATTCTCTTAACTTTTTTTTACTCATTTATTCATCAGTCTGTGATGTGTCTCTGTATGGCCTTGCCCGTTATGCCCAGCCCCTGAACAGAAATGGAACTACAGATGGTTCTTTAGCAAGGTGGACTGAGAGGTCTGGTGGATTTTGGAGAAGCCTTGAACTACTAATTCCTCTGCCCCTGATCTGCTCTGGCATCCTTTGTATTCAATGTCTCAGGGCAATGCAGTGAACAAGAGCAATAGCATCAATCACCACTTCCCCACATTCTTGACGTGCAGGAACCATTTTCTGCTGCTTTCTGGCCTCATTGCTAGAGAAACAGAATTCTAGAAGAAACACAGAGCACCATTATGTAACTGAATCTACCAAATGGAGCATTTATACTGAGTTCATCATCATGGTGTCTGAGCATCTGTTGTATTTAAAACGAGAAAACAATTTAAATGCAGTGTTTACTCAGAAAATCCTGCACGAATCCAGAAATGATGATAGACTCATCTAATAGTGTTTTTTCCCCTACATTACCCTTATTCTCTCTTAAGATACAACTTTTGTAGATGATGGATTGGGTCGGTGCCAAATTACAGCTTACAGTGAAATTCTGCATCAGCCAAAACATAATCAACATTAAGCATTTGAGCCTCAAACTTCAATTTGATCCTCACACAAAACAAATTGCAGAGATGTGTTATTTATTTGTGTTTATCCAGCTCTTGCTCATCTGCTAACGATGAGTGACAAGAGTGGCTGAGTGGCAGGTCAGCCAAAAATGCCCATCTTTGGAGCAATGGGCTCAGCAATGACTCCCCTGTCAAAACCCCTCCTGAGTCACTCAGCAGCCAAGGAACTCCTCTGCACCCCTGGGGCTCAATTTGGATTTTTCCTTCCTTGAATTTTCTGGGAGTACGAATGCTTGTAACGCTTGCAACAGTTCCAGCAGCATTTGGATATCAGGAACCCATCACCACTCACTTTTACTTTTTCAGCCTATTTACTTAATTTTTTTGTTGTTGGCACAAAGGTGAAAGTCCTGAGAGCAAATTCTGAGATATGCACGGCACTGGTCTCTTCAGACAGTAATTTGTACTTTTTATTGTAGTCCTGGGGATGCATAAGAAAAGTGTCAAGCTTTAAATATTACCTAAATTAGTCTTGTTTCCTACTTGCAAATAAATTAAAGTAAGATTTAAGAAAGTATTCAGAGTATATATAAATATTAAGGAGAAAGACTTAATTGTCTACATTTCATTTAGATTATTTTTTTATATTTCCTAGCTGCAGTGGTTGCATATAAGCAAGAAATAAGGCTCTGTTACAGCCTCATCAGGCTCTAAGATACCAGGGCAGCACCCAAATGGCATCTAGAAATAGCTAGAGAAAACTACTTCAACCCTAAAGCAGGTTATGGCAGAGCCTTTTATATATTTATATATATTCATTTTTAGGAGCCATAATACATGCTGAAAATATCAGCCCATGGTAACATGCTACCAAGGAACACTGGCTAAGGCTCACTGTTGAACACCCTTTAATGCAAGTTAGTTCTTGTTACCAACTGCTCTGATGAAACAGTTAGACATCATTTGTAGCCTCAGTGCTAATTCCAAGCATGCCATTATGTCTAATAAAGTAGATTTTGCAGCCAAAAGTAGTTAACCCAACTGCATTTCCAGTTTACTGCATGATTATTGCATTTCTCTACACAGCTGTCTGCTCAGAAGCAGAAGAAAAATTAGTTCCTTCCATGCATTCTAGTCTTATTCTTTAAAGTAAAAAGTAATTCTAATATTGTTTATTTATCTAGGACAAAAGGCATATAGCTATAAATGTGGATGACAAACCTGTCTATTAAACCAGTTGTTTATAAACAATTATTTTAAATGAAAAAATTACTGTCAAAATCAGTAAAAAACACAGACCAAAGCACAAACCTAAAAGCCCAAATAACCTCCATTTTAATAAAGAGAACATGAAAGAGAGAGAAAAAAAATTATTTCAAGCAACTGATTTTTTGCATTTCTCCTTAGTTTTATATAGCAAAGATAATCTTTTTAACAGATTTAAATGTTAAAACTGCAGTAGTTTCCTAAATGCAAAGTAAACTGCTGGAACTAGTGATCATCTACAATTCATGTTATCAATTTATTAACAAAGCAAGAGCACTGCACTGCTGTGGGCTTATACATAAAGAATAAAAGATAAATCTGTGGATTAATTAATCAGGGTATGGGTAAAACCACCTTGTCAAACACAAACATTTCATGGTTGAGTACCCTGGGCATGAAATTATGGGTTTGTTCTTCAAAGATAAGAAAATTCCCCTGCATCACTGCCAGGGATTGGTCCAGGAAAACAAGAAAAATCAGGACCACAGAGCTGGTCCATTTTCTCCCAGCTGGTGCTGTGCTTTTCCACAAAGCAGGAGGTACATTTAATTTAATTTAGGTCAACTTTTAAAACAGTTTTGTCAGTCATACAAATTGTACTGATCTCATACCTGTTCATACCTACAAAATTAATGCCATAAATTAACTCTTGGGTGATGCAACACTGCTACTCTTTCCAAAGGGTTTTACAAGACCCGTAAGAGCAATTGCATTTTAACAGTGGAATAACTGTTGTTACTAATAGCTTTTAACTCAGTAAAATTATTTTCCTCTCTGGGCACCCACCGTGCAGAAACTACATTTCTTTTGCTGTTTTTATTAAACTTTGGATAAACAAAAATATGTAATTATTTTCCTTAAAGATATCTTAGACACATCGTACAGGAGCTCTGAATCAAAACAAACATTTAACCTGTCTTTTTGAACAATTTAATTTGCTTTTGCTCCCTGCTGTGCTGCAAACATACTTTCTGCTTCTCTCAATGAGGTACCCCAACAGTTTCTCAGGTAGTGGAGCATAATATTAATATTATGGTTACAGATGAGCTGTTTCCTGCTGCCATTTAATTCATGCTTTACTTCCCTCCTCATTTACAAATCAAAAATGCATATAATTCTTCAAGTGAGAAAAAAGGGTATTATTCCCAAGAAGACTGCAGGAAAATGTATGTGAACTACCACTATATTCTAAATTCCCTCAGTTTCCTATTGCTCCATTTTTGGCTGCAGATTAAACCCTGCTTCAGTGATTAGGGGTTGATTTTTTCACTCGTTATAAACCTGGACAGTACATTATAATGAAATTTCTTTACTGCCAGTCTTAGTCTTGGACAGTTACAAAGATTACCAGATATAAACCAAGTTAATACTGATCTTGTTCACAGCATTTAAGTTCAGAAATTTTTCTGAGCAGCCTTTGGAAGTATCAGCACATGAAAGACCGACCTGATTTTTAAATGTGAACATCAGGCTGCTGCAATTCTGACAATGCCAGAACAAGAACATTCCTTTTCTAATTGACATCTGAAAACTATAAAAGATCTTTAGGCTAAGTAAAGCTGACTAGCCTTTCATCTGTTCAGAAGAACTTAACTGCCACCAGAGTTCATTAAATTTGTTCACCTTTTTTTTAAAAAAAAAGTTTTCAATATAAATTGTAACAGTGTCTGGTGATCCCAGACAAATCAAATATCAAGGTTCTGGGTAAGACATTTACATAGGTAGTGAGAGAAGGGAACTGTGCCTTTGTAATTTAAAAGTTCCAGCAAATCATAAAGCTAAAAAGCAGAAGGAAAGCTGCAGATGCTAAGGAGAACCTGGTTAACAGTAATACAGTAAGCACTTAACTGTAGGAGCCTCTGTAACCAAGTTTGCAGAATCTAGGGCAAATGAATACCAGTATTTTGAATTCTGCAAGTGGTGGTTTTCACAGTTCCAAACTCATACCCCATATGTTTCCTCAAATATTTCAACCCCTGACTCCTCTGAGCTTGGCTTCAGGCTGCAGAGTACAGATTATTTGGTGTCCATGGCAAGTGCTGCTGGAGCAGGGAAGGGGTGTCAGCCCTGCAGTGCAATCTGTAACTGGATGTGGCTGAATTCAGTGGCTGGAAATTCAGAGGAAAACATGCTGCTGCTGTACCAGTTGGAGCCAGATGGTGACTGAAATTATTAAAATTATATGTGCTGCAAATGCCTGAAAAACTACCCTGCTACAAAGTACCCAAAGCAGAGATGGGATCCTGATACAAACCAAGCAGGGTGGGTAGTATTTGCAAACACTGCATGGGATTATTTGCCACTGGTTAATTGTAATCCTTCCCTTCACCCTTTTTTTTAGGTTCAGCTGATCCACTATAACCATGAGCTGTACACAAATGTCACAGAAGCTGCAAAGAGTCCTAATGGGTTGGTGGTAGTTTCCATATTTATGAAAGTAAGTATTCTGTACTACAGATTCCTAATATATAGACAGCAAACTTTTCCCTGGACTGTAAATGTTGGTGTCAGACTCCTCAGTATGCTACAGCAATGCCCAGAGGCTCTGATCTGGGATCCAGAGACAGCTTCTTCCTGAACTGAGCTCGTCATCTCTGCTCCAAAGCTTTTACAATACAAAGAAAATTAAAAGGGGTAAGGGAGGTGGGGAAAAAAAAGCCTTACATAATAAATATCACTCATAACACCGTTCTATGGCAGAAGCCACTAGCTTTGCATATTCAGTGTTTCTTCATGAAATGTTATTCACTCAAATCACTTCTAATAGGCTGAGGCCCTGGGAAAGAGGGCATGTCATGCTGATGTGTCAAAGCCAGCAAAATCAGTTTTTCTCTGTGTTATTTTAAATACCTTAAAACCATGAAAACTGAAAGAACATTACAATATATTTTATTTCACAGAACCATAAAGACATGTGAATATTTTGGCTAAAATTTATAGTGATCTAACACTGAACTCAAGACTTCATGGTTTTCCCAAACCTCTTTAATTACATTGGAGAAACCTTTTCCCTCATTTTATAGGAAAAAAATTATTTCTTCCCTCCAAATATTGTTAATATTCTGTCATATATCTCTGTTTCATCAGTCTAAAAAAGTGTGTATTTCTGAGTAATGTTAAAGTTCATTTCATCACACCTTAGGTATGAGATATCTATTAGTTCCCCTCAGTACTCTAATCCCATTTCCTAAGGGTCCCAACAAAGCATTAACCTCAGATACAAAGTATGCATTTCACAGAGTATACTGAATAATTAGATATAAAAGGGCAATTTTCACATGGGTCTATTATTTAAGAAATGTATTTAGACTACTTTTTTTTTTTTAATCCAGAATGTATTGTATTATGACGCAACAATCAGACCTGCATTCATGAAAAAGGGAAAATTAAAGAGAAGACAGAAAAAATCTTGTCAATATTTAGAAGTACCTGCAGGGAGGTGTTAGAGGATGGACAAGACTCTGCTCAGAGCTGCTGAGCAACAGGAAAGAGGCAACAAGGGGGCAGAATCTGACACATGGAAAGTCCCACCTGAACATGAGGTGTTACATATTACGTAGACATAAACCAGAGGAAGAAAGCTTTAATTTGCAGTTAAAATAGCCTGCTACAAGGAAATTATATTTATCAATAAATAAAATAATAGAATACGAGTGAAAATCCTGCCTAATGTATCAACCACCTGCAAATTTCATCAAAGGTGTTGGAGAAGAAACATGTGCTCACACTTTTATTGAGGCATTAGTTTCTGTTCACCCTGTTCCTTGTTTTTTATTTATTTTACCAACTTTCTATCAAGCTTCATTAGAAAAAAAAGTAAATTATTATTTCCTTCACCCACAAAATAAAAAAAAAAAGGCAAAATTCAACTGGACAAATATCAGAGAGTGCCTGTGTGCACACATGGAAGAGCTGCAGTTCTGGTGAGGAAATGTCTGTGAGAAGATTTTGACATTGTGCATTTTCTCTTCTGTAGGTATCTGAATCATCAAATCCATTTCTAAATCGTATGCTTAACAGAGACACCATAACAAGAATAACATATAAGAGTAAGTTTATTTTCATTTCCTCTGGTAACAGCTGTGTTCTTTCAGTATCAAATAACACATTTAGTGATCCTGAAAAAAGAGGCACCTCATTATGGGCAGAAATTCCAGGTTTGCATTGCTGGGAACTCTGCATGATAAACTCAGGAATGTGAAAAAGCTCATTAGGTCGTCACTTTATTAAATGCATTTCAAACTTCAGAGTGTGTTTTATATCTGAAGGTGCAACAACAGATTAATGAAATTATATTTGACACATACATATACTGTATTCACCCAGAATGCTCAGGAGAATTTGTCTACTGTTAGCAGTAAAAGGGACATGTGGAGCAGCCTGGGTTAGATTGGATCTGGTTAGGTCAAGATGCTGCATCATTTACTGGATTTAGTATTCATCAGTGTTTTCTTTTTGAAAGAAAAATTACAACATTCCTATTCAACTAATGCTACATTTAACAGATATAGAAAGAGGTCATTAACATATCTTGTATATTTGTTGTATTCATATTTGAAAAGCCTTTAACTGATCATCCTCAATAATTCCATGTTCATATGTTGACCTTGTGGAAAACTGGAGCTTAATTAAGGCATTTTAGAGAAAATAATGAAAAATATATATAAAAAAATTAAACCTCTTCTCCTGGAAACTTCATTTCCTTTGTCAAATATCCTATTTGTAGTAATATGAAGTTTGTAAGTTCAACAGTAGCAGAATTTAACTTTCAGAAAGTACACAGCAAACAGATAACACAAATAGTTCCTTGTCTTCTCCTGCACCACACACACCTTTCATGGCACTGAGGTTCCTCTGCTTTTACCTGGGAGTTAACAAATCTTGTTACATCTTTAGTCCAAATAAGAGGCTTCTACGATCATGAAACTCAGTTCTCTACAATACCTATGGAAAGGCAGGCAACAGAGAGTTCTCCTCAGAATGTTTTTTCCAGATTGTTCTATCAGTATCAAATGTCATCTTCTCTGCATGGAAGAAGCAGATCAGTCCCATTTTTAAACTTCTTGTCCTGATTCCTTGCAAAAACACAGCAAGGCTGTTGTGCAAGAGCTTCCTGCCTTCCAGTGCTGCTGCAGCATCCTGGAAACAGTGAATTATTGTTAAGGTTGTGTGTGCTTTTTCCAGCACTTTCACCCACAAATTCCATATTCCCAGCTTCTGTCTGGGACCAGCCAGATGCTCTCCCATGGAACCCACCCTCCCAATACCAGATATTTCCTTTGAATGCTGCATTTACAGTGGAAACTCCTCCTCTCTGGAGCTGTCAGCATCCCACAACCTCTCATTGCTTATTTTGTCACAATTCCAATCACACCTGATTTGAGTACACTAAATAAAATTTCTCATGAAGGTGAGCACATAAAACACAGGCTGCAAAAGCAGTGATTAACAGAATTGCTTTAATTTTTAACCACGGTTTTCGCTAAGTTTATCCATTAAAATTAAACCATTGGTAGACACAATGCACATAATATTCCACAGGGCATTGGGTTACTTACTGTAGTAACAAGTATTGACTGCAAATTTTTAGTGTAAATTGGGAACATGAAAGTGTTATTGAAAGTAATTTTGCAGTTGTCTTGCATGATGGATTATAGCATCATTGCTGAAAACTAATTTTACCTCTTACACTGCAAGGATTTCTTGTGTGCCTTTAGTAGCAAGCTGGAATTCTGCAGCTTCTGCTTTAGGGCTCCACTCCTGAAGTCAATACTGAGCACAGTGCTGATAAAATGCCCAGGCCCCATGTAGTCAAGGGGAGCGTGGAGGGAATGATAAAAGGAGCACTGGTTCAGAGTCAGGATGGTTCATAACATAAATAAAATGTTGAGTTGTTGTTTTTTGTTTTTTTTTTTCCAAGACCTGCAATAAAATTAAGTGCTGTCTCTCCTGCTGCATGAAATTTCCACATGCCAAGAGCATTAAAAGGGAAATTTCTACTCTTAGATATTAATGGCTACAGTGAAGTAAAGTGGACCCCAAGGAATTTTTAAGGAGATTTGAAATGTTTCTTTTGTTCTGTTTTTGCTGCCCAAAAAATCTACTGTGAGCAAGCTGAAATAAGGGGTTTTCAAGCAGGCTTTAGTCAGAAAACTGTGCGGTTATCTCAAAAGGAAACTTTTTTATTCTTTATTATTCCTCATTAAGTGTGCCATTTGAGGGGATAAGTTAGGTTTCTTTCAAAACAGTTATGCTACATGAGCTTTCATCCAGTGATAGCTTAACATCAGGGAAAAAATTAACTTTTCAGATTCCCAACATTCCACATAAAAGTTTGGTCTTTGTCTGGTAAGCAGAGAAACTGAGGATCTCTACATTCCTTACCCTGTACATCTAACCTAGATCCTCTTCTGGATTATCATGATATAAACTTTAAAGTTAAATGTACCTTCCTCCACTCAATAAACACTATATTCCCTATAAAAAGCATTGTAATAAAGAGAACATACACATATTTTTGCTGTGAAAGCCAACCCTACACATCTATTACAAGCCTAGGGATAAAAGGATTTATATCATTTCCTAGGTAAACTGTCAGAGTCAAGGCCTTTATGTAAATGAATGTGAAATCTAATGAAATCTTATTTGTAGAGAGAAAAATTCCTGGGTTTGGAAATCACCATAAGGCACCAACAGATCAAGAGAAACACGTTGTGGGCTGCAGATAGGAATGATGCAGAGGATCCAGGAAAGGCTGGATGGGTTTATGAAAGGAAGCTTGTGACTGGCAAGAGATCATACAGGGTGATTTTGAGCATTTTGAATGTATTTGCAGTAAATATAAGAAAGACTTTGAAGTGCTGCAGTCTGGTATTAATACTAACCCACTAGGTCTGCTTCAGCTCCAGAACAAGAAACCCTTATCAAGATGTGGGGAAAGGACAGACCTGTTCATGGGAAAAACCAAATTCTTACTGTGTAGTCTTCTCTCATGGAATCAGCTGACTTCCAATGGGAATAAAACTCATATATAGGCATTAATAAGTACTGTGTTTTCTTGGACAACCCTTATTTCATTCACCCCTATCTTTGATTTTTCCTGAAGTGATATCTTACTCCAATTTTTCATATCAATATCCCTCATCTGTATTAATCTTCAGTTATTTTTCCATCTCCTAGTAAACATTTTAGGGCAAATTCTACTTGGCTGAAATTTTAGCCCAGCTGAAGGCAGTATGGCTGTGAGAAAGCAGATTTGGTCCTTAGAGATCTCTTCTGCCTGACTCTGTGCCAGTTGGTGTTAAAACACACCACTCTCCATGGCTCACAAATAATGAACAGGATGTTCATGTGGGAAAGAGAAAAGTGTGTGATGACTCATTGAAAACAGGCACTGGCATGGAAAAAGCCCATCAGTTCTCTTCTGATGCAATTCTAGCAAAATTATCAGTGCACAGCAAATAATGTTTTTAATGATCAGGACACAGGTGTATTCAGTCATCTCTGCTTGTTCAAATAGAACTGCATTTTGACTGTGTTTGCATGCTTCTGTCTGGAAGATTTGGGTTTAGAAAGAGGCTGCCACGGGCCATGGGCCAGTGAAGCCTGGGCATATTAAAACAGGGGACAGTCAGCCACCTCCCAGACACTAATGGCACTTCTGCTTGAGAATCCAGCCAGCCATGCAGCGCTGCAATCACCCAGCTCCAGCTGCACGGACAGGGCAGAGGGCTCCTTTTCTGACACACATGAGAGGACCTGCCAAGGTTTTGTTTTGTAAAACAACAAACACATTTAAAATATTAAATAACAGTAAGGCCCTGGTCAATGAGGCAGAAACATTACACTCTCACTGTGGCATTTTAACTGATGCTGTTGCTGCCAATATTGTTGCCCCAAAACCCTGTACCATGTTGACTCTGCTGTGTTAAAATAAAAAACAAGGTCATGTTTTCTCTGCCTGTGTTCTTTGACTTTCTGTTGCCCAAGACAATAGTCTGCAGCCCTTCTTATTTTTCCATTAGATTGTACAAGACAAGCCTTTTGCTCATTTAAGTTATGTCCTTCAGCTACAATATGTTAAATTCAAGTTAAATTACGCCTTTCTTTTTTAGCTCCTATACACTACCTTGATCATTTGGATTTCTATACAAATCAAGGTCAGCTCATGTTGAGCACTGAAAGAGGGAACACACCTCAGTGTGCACTTTTCCTTGCCTGCATTTTAATGTTCCCTCTGCAAATGAACCAAATTGGAGACGCAGCACGCAAGTGAAACGGTTCAAAGAGATCTCCCAATGTTACAAATCATAACCACCCCAGCTTTCTTTGAGATACACACAAGCAGCAGTGCCCCAGTAATACAATATGTTTATCCCTGAGTGGGTGAACTCCTGCAGCCTAAGATTTGGCAGGAAAATCTGAGTTTTAGCTCTGACAGCACGGCCAAAAGTACTGCCAGCATTACCCAAGAGAAATACTGCAGATAGTACAGAAAACACTGAGGAACTTGGATGAATTTTGAAAGATATAACTATATCTCATTATATTTAGGTACATATCCACAGAATAAATTCTGTTGCAGAAGAATACACTTCATTAATTCCCTGGGAGCCTTACAATAAGGGCAGGAATCCTGGTACTGCTTCCCAGCAAGCCTTCTGCCTAGAGTTTATCTTTGTGAGGGAGCTGGCACTGCACCCAGGCCATGGGGCACATGAAAGGCCAGGAGGCTCCATGGAGCAGCTTTATTATCATGCATTAACTGCAGCTTCCTTTTGTGCCAGAAGGGCAATTAAGTTTTAACTCTCTTGGCCTTCCTGAGGCTTTGTCAAGCAAAGATTGTTAATGACCCCAAAAGTTGGAAAGTCAGCATTCTCCAAAGGCTTCTGGAGCTCAGTCAACAACAGCAACTCCAATCCCTAAATGTGACTCAGAGTTGCCCTCTGAGTGCCTGTGCTCAGTTCCCAGTGTGTTGTCCAAGACTGAAACACCAAGATGTTTCCTATTACCATCGAGTAGGAGTTGCCTCTGGGCAGTTTTCCTTGTCTCCTGTTAATGGGCCCATCAATGTCTTGCCCCATGACTCAGAGATAAACTCTCCTGGAGCCAGTTCTGTTTAACAGGGGATTAAGGACACACCTCATAACTCAGAATAACACCAGCCCATTGTGAGATGCTCCGCCCAGGAGGAGGAGCCAGGCATTCCCACCTGGATAAATCCAGGGATTTCTATACAGAGAGGCAGCCTTTCCACAGGTTTCCAAGAAGACACAGCAACCACATCTGCCATTCCAAGAGGACTGAAGCCACTCCAATTTGGACTGCTATCCTCACGCTGGCCAAAGGGGTGTCAAGTTGTATTCTGACTTTGTCAGTAGTCTTCCTTTTGTATCATTACATGTATTTTTGTCTTTTTTCCCCTTTTCCCTATAAATTATATTTCTAACTTAGAGTCTCTCATTGGTTTTGCTTTCAAACCAGAACATGTGTGAATGGGAATCTCAGTGCAGATCCCCCCAGCAGGGTCAGGGATATTACTTCTGTGACTTGTTCTTGTCTAAACTGCTGGAGCATCCAGCATCTGTTAAACTTCATTCTTTGGTAGAACTGAACATCATGTCATCATGTTCTGGAATTAGGAGACATGAAAAAGGTGGTGGTGTTTGTTTTGTTTTGTTTTTTGTTTTGTTTGGGGTTTTCTTCTTGTTTGTTTTGTGATGCTGTTGTTTTACCTGAGTTATTTTCCTCATTTGTTCTCCAGATGATGCATACTTACTACAGGGGCTTAATATTGAGGAACTTTATCCAGAGACATCTAGTTTCATTACATATGATGGGTCAATGACAATTCCACCCTGCTATGAAACAGCAAGCTGGATAATAATGAACAAACCTGTCTACATAACAAGGATGCAGGTAAAGAAATTTACAAATTACTCAATCTAGGATAGGTACAAAGTATTATTTTAAGCATAAAATTTGGAGCTTTACATTAGATTCAACTCGTGCTGTAGGGATCTCTGCATGCAATTTATACAGTTTGCAAAAGCACTGAAGAGGTTTTTTGTCAAAATAAAAATACTGTTAAGAGCTCCATCAGTATCTACACATATAAACTTTAAGGGGGGCCCAGTTTTCAGTGAGGGTTTGAACCAAATGGTTTTCACAGTCTCTCCACAACTGCATCACTCTGTGATGCTGTGAACAGTTACTTGGACAGTCTAAAGTACATCAGTGTTGTAGACTTAACTGAGGTTATTAAGGGTAACAGAGGCCATTCCTAGTTCTGAATAAACACATGTCAATAGCACATTAATGTGACAGAGATACAGTATCTGGAGCCTTCTGAAAATTAAATCACCCAATGCTTTCTGGTGAATAATAAAATTACAGGACACACACCACAAATACCTTTGGAAAAATCAGATCGATGTATTGAAGCACCTATTAGAGAGAAGCAAGAGAAATTATGTAAGAGAAAACACAACTTCACACCCAAAAGGAGGCTGTTGAGGAAACACACCTGTGGAAAAATCTCAAAAACTAAATTTCTGTACAATTTGCTTACAATCCAAAGCCTGGCATCAGAAAATAGCAAATTTAACGCAAATTGGCCTCTTCTACAGAGTTTCCATCAGTGAGTTGCCTACAGAGCTGTGAGCTGAACTAAAACCTGCTCACTTGTATGCTGGAACACCAAGGAGCACTTGAACCACCATCTGCCTGCCCCAAGCAGGCAGCAGAAGAAATATTGCCCAAGAAATGAAATGAGGAACAAGAAAACAACCCTAAATATCACTTTGGAATTTAAAATCATATTAACATTGTAAATAAGATTACTTTAAAAAGCCTGAGATGTTTTCTTTTTGTGATATTCCTTCTGTCCAGTTTAGTCTGGAGGCAGTGAAAGCACTTTGTTTCCTTCTAAATGGGTGATTTGGGAGAATGATACAGCTGAGCAGAGGCAAAAATGCTCACTATTGTGAATTTTTCAAACACAGGACCTGAATATTTTCCTACAAGCAACATTTTTAGGTCCAACATTAATGTGCAAAATAAGGATTAGAATTATTAGAATTATTTCTAGTCTGTGCTGCTACGTATGGGTTATACCCTCATGATATTTGCTCCTTGTCATTCTTTAATGGTTAATCACATCCTCCATTAATACTTAGTTATATCCTCCATTATTAATGCTGAAAATGATTTTGTGGAATACTTGCTAATTATGTTGTGTACTCATACTGAAAAAGCAATGCCCAGGTCAAGTTTTCCCTAGGAGCTGTTAAAGACTTCCAGTACATAAAACCCAGCTACTGGATTTCCCCACTAAAGGCCATAAACAAAACTCGTAAATTGTACATTGATGTGGAAGATATTTTGGTTTTAGATCTTTACACCAAAATATTGAGGGTTTCTGGTTTGTAACTTGAGACTTTTTTTTTTCTCTCTCTCTGATTTTGGTTGACTTGAATCAATTAAGAGTTGCATAGTCACCCTAAGAGCCATTTCTGACCAGCACTGCATGCACAGGATGATTGAGTATTTCCCTCTGGGCTGTGAAACCAGCTCAGAAGAAGGCTGGATTCTGCTGTAGGAACACTCACAGTCACTGCACAGACAGTATCATGACAGTCCTGTCAGCAACAAGAGGCTCTCACTTTTTATCATTAATTTCACGACTTCAGCAGCATCACTGTCAGTTTTCCTTCCCATCCAGCCTGCCCCTACCTGGTTCTTGAATAGCACCAACCAAAACTGTGGCTTCTCAACTGAAAGCTACACTGATAGCTACAAAATTCAGGAAATTAGCTCTTGTCATTCATCAAGTTCATTTGCTCTGTACCAGCTGCTGCCATCCAGCACCGTGGATTCCATTACTTTCCAGCTCACCCAAGGACACCTCAATTTTATTTTATTCACTCCCCACAAAACTGGTTACTCTCATTTAAAATGGGGGTCAGAAACAGAGGAACATGCAAGGAATGGTTTTAAGTTAATTCTGCCTAAAAACTGTCAGTTAACTTAAATTCTGTTTTACTGAAATTCTGTTTCACTGAAATTCTGTTTTACTTCCATTTATTAACTAATCTATTTAATAATGTTGTATGTTGTTTACTTACAGGAAAGACCAGTACTAAAAACCCATTGTTTTGTCTTTATAGATGCATTCTTTGCGACTGCTAAGCCAGAATCAGCCATCACAGATATTTCTGAGCATGAGCGACAATTTCAGACCAGTCCAGCCTCTCAACAATCGATGTATCCGAACCAATATCAACTTTAGTTTACAGGGAAAAGATTGCCCAAACAATAGAGCACAGAAACTACAGTATAGAGGTACATGCCACCTCCAGAATAACCCTTTCTATGCTTTCACTGAGCTCCTTTCTTTGAGAAATCCAAGGGCATAACAAGGCACACAAATAAAAACACATAGGAGTGCAGATCTGGGGGAATAACTGTGTCAGTCAAATGCCACACATTTGAAATAGATGAGTAAATGTGCAGGAAGAGCATGACAAAAAAAAAAAAAAAAAGCCTGGGACATCGAATATGTTTTTTAGAAGTAAATAAGACAGGCCCTTGGTTTTCTAGCCTCATTTTAAAGTCTTCTCACCTTCCAAAGTGCATTTTGCACTGGTTTATTCACCCACAAAGGGGGATGAGCTAGTCTTGATGACAACTGATCTCAAACAAAATTAGTAATTGATAAGGCTTAATTTCACTTTCAAGGTGCACCACCATAGCAAACACCTCAATTGCCAAGTGTTGTGTCAAGCTGTGGACATAAACCATGAAGCAGCTCAGTCATCTGCAGCTAGAGCCTTACACTGCCTCAGCTATGGCTCACAACTGAGATTTAATGTGTCTCATGCATCTTTGAGCCCAGGCACACAACTGTGTTGCCTGAAATAATGGTGTTAAAGTGCTCTCACAGCAGTAATATCATTATGAAGGAGTAGCACTAAAGGAAAAGAAAGGACATTTTCAGCAACAAGGCAGATGACTGTGTTGCAATACTTCAAATAAACAGTCGTTCAGACTTAGTTCTTTTCTAGAAAAAGGAGGAAACTGAACCTCCTGGCTTTTTAAAGACATTTTGTCTAAGTGCCGAATATGGTGTTAAATCAATTTGATTGATAGTGTTCAACCAGTTTCATATTTGGCATTTATTGAAGCATAATTGGGTTTTTTTGTTTCTCTTCCAGTAAATGAATGGCTCCTCAAATGAGACAGAGCAGGCAGAACCCAAATCCTCACTGGAATGCTCCTTCTGGGAATTGACATCATCTACAATGCACCCAACCTCCCTCTCTGGGCTCACGTGCACCCTGTGCTGTGGGAAAAGAGCTGCCACGCTGGAAAAGTCCTCAAAAATTATTCATGTGATTGGTGGCCATTTAAAAACAAAACAAAAAAACAAAACAAAACAAAAGTATTACAGTAAACATGATTACAATTTTCCTGAACTAATTTGGAGTCACAAGGAAAGACTTTGCAGCCTTTGTACATATGAAATTCTTCCTCTTCTCCCCCTCTCTCCCTCAATTGAAAAAAGAAAAAAGGTGGCTCAGTACAGCATCAAAGTGGAGTTGTGTTCTGTGTGCCAAGTAATCCTTGGAAAGCTCTCATTATTTCACAATCATTAATGGATACTGACAAGACAGAACAAGACTACTGTAAAGGAAACATTCCTAGGTATGATCTTTCTGTTAATTTAATTTAAAAAGGGACAGACTTTGAGAGATAAGTATTGTAAATATATCACTGCAGAATATAAAGGAAATTGAAATATTTCCCTCTGTCACATATCTGTAGTAGGATTTGGCAAAATCAGAATCTATCCATTTTCTGTTTCTTGTTTTACAACAGATCATACGTTGTGTTGGTTACTATTAACAACTCAATAAATGTGTTTAACAAATTAATTTAGTTAAGTTGCTTTGGTTTCTTTTTTTCCTTTCTGAAATAACAAGCCTCTACTACTTGTGGATGTATTATTTGTGTTTTTCTTTTTTTTTTCTTTTTTTTTTTCTTTCTTTTTTTACTTAATTTCTTTGTTTGCAGGTCATTCAAGTGAGTTAATGACAATTGGGAATGAACTTAAGTTGGTATAACTTTAACTCCACTTTATAGTCCATCATTAACAGGAACTGGGCTCAGAAGCAGAAAGCACTTAAAACATATCTCAGTTTAAAATTGTCATTTTCCTTGCTGAAGCCATTATTGGGACAAACATTCAATCCTGTAAATTGGTGGCGAAAGGGATATTTTTTCTTTACAGATAAAGCAGGAGCTGGCCAAGTAAAAGCAAATGCCTTTTTTCTTATTTATAATGGTCATTCACTGTGTTTGGCTACTGTCAAGAACTCAATAAATGTGTTTAACAAGTTCACACAGCACATGTTTGACCTTCTTGAATACTGAGGGATTTTTCAGGTTGGTTTTTTTTTCCAGTTTGGAGAGGGGTCAGGCCTCAGGATCTCCCATCCCTAATGCTCACATTGAACCACATTTAAGTTCACAGAAAGCAAGATGGAGCTAAAAAATGCTGTGGCACCAAGGAATTGTTTACACCAAATGGAAGAACAAGCGCGACAAGAAGTGTGAGGGAACAGCCTTAAGGTGACAAAAATGTTATTTTATCTGTGCCTGAAGAGACCAGTGCAAGGAGCACCGGACAGGAAAGTCAAGAGTCTGTGGTTTGGAAAGACTGAAGCTTGTAAAGTGAGAAGAGTCCAGGACTGGCCTTCAGGGGACCCTCAGGATGGAGATGGAAAACTGTGAGGAACCCAAAATTGTCAACAGTTCAATTGCTCGGTGCGAGGTGCAGGGAAGGCTCGGTGAGATGGGCTGACACAAAGGTTCTCTGTCTGCAAAAGTCCTGGACTGTAGGAATCCAGAGCTTCCCTCTGGCTGCCCTGGCAGGTCTGGGACCCTGGCAGGGGTCAGGAACCCCCCTGGACAGAGCCCCCAGAGACACTGTCTGTGATCTCTGTCCATGGAAAAGAGTTTTCAATCTTACAGGATGAATTGCAAGCTCTGAGTGTTTGATATAAGTAATAATTAAGGATTCTAGATGAGGGGTCCAAAGGGGACAAGATGGAGGAAATTGGGTGTGCCTTGTCCTTTTTCTCCTTCTTCATGCCCTCCATGTTTCACTGTGGTGTTGGCATTTTTCTGTTGGTTCAGGCTGGGGACACACTGTCCAACGTAGGTGACAGATATTGGCACGTTATTGTAAATCCAGCACAGGTAGTTTGTGGTATTTAATGTTTGTACCATCCCACTGAGGGCAGAGCCCCACACGCTGCCCTGCAGGACAGAGCTGCGGCAGGGCAGCAGAACATGTTAGAGATAAACAGAATAAACAACCTTGAAACCAGCACAGACCAATTATGGCTTCTGCTTTGGCAATGGGGCTGACAGACAGAGACTTTCTACAACCTCGGAATCATCAATAACTCAGATCCTGACACTGGACCACTGACCCCGGCCTAGGATTCTCTCAGCACATGTGTAAGTTACTTCATCATCAAGGTGTTTAATTTCCAGGATCCTGATTGCATATCTGTAAAATATGTGATTCTCAAGTTACTTCACTTGAAGCATTTCAAATGGCTTCCAACACCAGACAGTGAGAGAAAAATCCACAGAAGTGTCACACAGCATAACTGTACCTATAGGTAACATACATCTATCTGTCCACCTTCCTGTTCCAGCCTTCAAAGCTGAACCAGCAAGCAAACACCTCACGGATATGCCTGGAAGCTTGGATAATTTATTATAAAATAAACTCCTACAAAACAAAAAACATCCTTTCTCACCATTCACTCTCACTTATCTATCAAGTGGATACTCTGAAAGAAGAGGGGCAATGGAAATTGTGCTGAAAAATTGAGACTAGAGATCACAAGACCAGGAACAAAGATACTTGAGGGTGTGCAAGGTTGTACTTCCTGTACTGATATTTGGTTCCTAAACACAAAACACTGTAAGTTTTTCAGGGAGATAAGCTATAACTGTTTCATGTTTGGATTTTTTTATTAGATTTTATTCCCCAGATGTAGTGGCTGACAAAGCCTGGAGAGTTTACTGTACAAGATACTGATTTACTGGCAAATGGCTCAGCACAGTTCTTAACAACACACTAAAATTATTCAAGGAGCCTGTTTGTATGGCAAAGAACAAGCACCATTTATAATATGAAATGTAATGCAGGCAAACATTTTCTATTTCCTACAGTGTCAGGCTTTATTCTAATAACTAAAGATGTGTCAAACACATACCCAGAACAGAAAATGAAAAACAGGATAATAAATCTTCTAAGGATGGGAAAATAACGCTTAGGTTTTGAATAGGGGGGGAAAATCCTTCGAAGTATTAGCAAAACAGCAAAAAATATTGACACAGTTTATGATTTTAGGCAGATGCTTCCACTCCATTAGGGTAGAAAGAGCTGGAGCCAAAAATAAATCCAAGGGGAGCAAAGTTACAGCAGAAAATAGTGTAGTTGCCCCAGAAGGAAGGTCAAGGCTGTGAAATTCACACTTGGGTGGGTATTCCCAGCGTAAGGACACAGCCAACACCTCACATCCCACTTTCTGAAGCATTCAGGTATTTGCACCCATGGCACATGTCCAAATGCACCAGGACCATGTTTGGACTTGGTCAAGGGAAGCTGATGCTAAGTCAGGGCCAGAATGTCCTTCCCAGTTTCTCAAGGGCCACTTTGAATCTGCCTCCTCAAGGATTTTGTGAACCCATCTCGAGGATTTTGTGAAAGTTTCTCAAGAATTCTGCAAAGAAATCACCAGAAATGCCTCATGCTTGCTTCACTTGCTGTCCTGCTGTGCCACCTAAGCTTTATGAGATTCCCTGGAAGTTTATCCCTGCAAAGCTGCCCTGGAGGATCCCTGCATAAATGCAAGATATAATGTGGTGGATGAGAAAACAATTGTAAACCCCACATGGTAAAGAGATGGAATATTTCAACATTATGAGGAAATATCATATTAATATTCCAATATGCCATTAAAATCTTATGAAGGAATGTTAAGACAAAACAGAAAGTCATAAGCACAATGGCAGAAAACAGAATTTGGCAGAATCACAAGGGGAAAAGATCGATCTTTTCCCTCTGCCCTGAATTTTCTCCTTAATGTTGCAGCAATATAGCAGCAAGCTGATTTCAACTTGATGCCTCCCTTCAGACATAATTTACATTTGACAGCAGTAGGAGTAATAATGGCATTTTCAGACATTCATGCCAAAGTTTCACAATACTGGAGGCCTCTCTCATTAAACATTTATTTATTTATATGTGTGTTCCTCGAGCTGCAGAAAAGATACAAAAATTGAACTCAATTGACAAACATTTCACCCAACTGCTCCCCATGTTCCTCCCACGCAGGTGGGCAACTTAGACACTTAAATCACTGAGACTCTGCCCTCCTGCAAGCATCACCTCTTGAGATGTTAAATCATGCAGCCCAATCTACAGACCAACAGGGGTTTGGCTTTTAAAAGTCTTGATGAATCCCTGCATAATTCCAAATAAAAAGGAGAAAGAATTGTGGAATAATTCCAGGTTTCAGCTTTCAGAAATTAACTCTTTGCACTCCTTATATGTTGTTTGCCTTACAGAGAGTACTTCTTCATAGGGGACTGTCTTGGTTTAGGGTAATTTTGGGAGAAAAACCGCTAAAAGGGTTTCCTTTAGAAAAAAAAAAGTTACGTGGCCCCTCTCCTAACTAGCTGGGGAAAAAGATCTCCTTGGAGAAAAGTGGAATTTGGAATCAAGGACCAATTAGAAAAAACTGTATCAGACTGTCTGTAAGGGCAATGGGTTTCTTAATAAATATAGTATAATAAAGTGATTGATCAGCCTTCTGGAACCATGGAGTCAATGCTAATTATTACCCAACGGGGACCCATGCTATGACAGTGCAAGCAGCACCATAAATACTGTGAAATGACTAACAAGAGACACACAGCAATGCAATCTGGTTGTTTTTATAGTGTAGGATTTGTCACTGTGAATCAGGAAATGCTGTGAAAGGGCAGTAAAGTCCAGTGAGTGATTGTGACAGGCTGGAGCCTGGCAAGGTAAGCAAAGCCCTTTGTGTCTCAGGGGTGGGCTTTTTATCATGATGGGTGGAAGAGAGAAAGAAAAAAAATTCAGATGACACTGACTTAAAGATGTTTCTCTTAATAAAAGTTTTAATGTCAACAATCATTACAATGCTAATGTCAACACTTTTTTGGAAGTAGTACCCTTATATGATTCATTAGGGATGTCATAAGCATCCCACAACATATGGTGTCTCAAATCCAATTACTTTTCTATTCAACCCATGACCTTGAATAGGTTATAAAACAAGAAAGAACACAAAGAAAAAGCTCCCATTGCTTATTTGATGGCTCAGCGGCATAGTGTTGAAATTCAGAATGATGTCAAGTTGTCTTTCTGTTTGTTCTGCTTCCCAGTTTTGTATCCAATCTAAAAAAAGTGATGGAAGCTTATTTTAGAAAAGCAAGTAGTGGCATCATCTACTTCCTGAGACTGTGTGCACGTTGAAAGCAAAAAACAAGAAGTGTTCCTAAGATGATAATTTAGGCCCTTCACCTGGATAACTGAAAAATAAAAATAAACCTTTTCATCTAATTTTACCTTTTGAAAGCACCAGTTTTACACAAAGATTATTTGGCAACATTTTTGTCAGATAGTTTTTCTTCTGCAACCATCTTCCTCTACGTGATTTTAAGAAAAGCCCCCCAAGGATATTTGTTTATGTGAAGATCTAAAAATCAAATCCATTCTATCTCAAGCAGGTTATGCCTCCAGAAAATAAGTTCTTTATATTTATAAATGATATCTTGCTGGAACTTCTCCTCTTGCTACTAGCACTGTGCTGCTACACAAATA